GTCTTGGCTCATTGCAACCTCTGCCTCCCGGGTTCAAGCGATTCTCCTGCCTCAGCCTCCTGAGTAGCTGGGATTACAGGTGTGTGACACCACGCCTGGATAATTTCTGTATTTTTAGTAGAGACAGGATTTCACCATGTTGGCCAGGATGGTCTCGATTTCTTGACCTTGTTATCTGCCCACGTTGGCCTCCCAAAGTGCTGGGATTACAGGTGTGTGCCACCACTCCTGGCCTAATTTTTAAAATTTTTAGTAGAGGCGGTGGCTGATGCCTGTAATCCCAACACTCTTGAATTCCTGTGCTGAAGCAACCCTTCCACCTCAGCCTCCTGAGTAGCTGAGATTTCAGGCACACGCCACTGTGCCTGGCTTGAAAGTATAGTTTTTGATGCTAGCTTAGTATTTAATTGTACAGATGTATCAACATTTATGACAGGGAGTGGTGGCTTATGTCTGTAGTCCCAGCACTTTGGGAGGCTGAGGCAGGAGGATCTCTTGAACCCAGGAGTTTGAGACCAGCCTGGGCAACATGGTGAGTACCTGTGTCTACAAAAAAGTACAAGAATTAGCCAGCCGTGGTGGTGTGCACCTGTAGTCCCAGCTACTTGGAAGGCTGAGGTGGAAGACTTGCTTGAGGCCCAGGGGTTAGAGGCTGCAGTGAGCCATGATTGAAACACTGCGCTCCAGCCTGAGTGATGAGGCAAAACCTTGTCTGAAAGAAAAAAGCCCCAAACCATTTACTTACTCATTTTCACCTGTAGTTTTTGTTGTTCATATATAACTGCAATAATAACTCTGAACATATTTTGAAACCTGTGTATCCACAAATACCCCCAACTTCCTGAGACAAGGTGAGGAGCTCTTCCTGTCCTAAAGTGAAGCAAGACTCCTTCGCAGGCCTCTAACCTGGAAGCAGCCCTGCAAGACCACCGTGTTGTCACCAGGTAGTGCCTAAGCACCCTGGTGATGTTTTCTGTTCTCTCTTCCCTTCAGGAACATTGTTCCGTGGCTTAAGAAGTACGGGACCAACCCCAGCAATGGAGAGGTAGGTGGCTGTGCAGGAGTTTCAGTAATGCTGGTGAGCGCTGTCCTCTCACCTCTGCTTTTATTCTGGTGGTTTTCATGAACACGGGAACATGGGAGAGAACCGTTCATGGGACCCAGTGAGGAGGGACAGTCTTCCCCTCCTCTGCCCACACCCATTCCTTTCTGGAAACGCTTCCTGCCTGTGCATGTCTTTTCTCGGGCCATATCTGTGATCCAGTATAACCTCATCTGAACTTGATTCTATCTGCAAAGACCTTATATAAACCCTTGATTATATCCAAGGCAGGCCACATTCACAGGTTCCCAGTGAGCATCAGTTTCGGGGGGACATCATGCAGCCTAGTTCCGAGGGAGATCTAGTGTGTTTTACCAGTGACCGTTCCCTTCCTGTTGGACACTTGCATGTATTCCTCCACTTCTTTCCTGTGGCCTGGGGCAAGAGCTCAAACTGCAAGCGAGAAGGAGGGTCAGGACTCAAGGGGGCTCCCTGTGCTGGAGCCGCTGGAAGGGAGCTCCCTGGACAATATGACCCTTCCTACCAGGCCAGCAGGAGAAGCTGGCAGCCCGTCTGTGTTGTCTCAGCTCTTCCGGCCCTTGTGATGTTCTGCAGGCTGCAGGGTTCTGGGGACTCTTTCTAGATGGAGTTGGTGCTCCTCCAAGGCTTCCCTGTTCTCGAATACAAGGGGAACTTGGCCAGGGGGCTGGTTTTGAGTGTTCTTGGACCAGCCGCTAAAGCCTGTGGCTTTTCTGTTTCAGATGCTTGGGTAGGGGGCTTGTGGCCTTGCCTCCTTAGGGAGGGCACTCTTCTTTCTTGGTCTGTGTCACTTAAAGACTGTGTTTCTGTGGTGTCTGCTGCTGGGAGCCACGTTGGATCCCAGGGTCTTCCCCCAAGGTCTGTGCCCCAGCCTGGGAAGTCATCTTCTGTTGCTCTTCTCAGCAGGGGTCCCTGCTGCCTGCCTATGCCCTATGTGGCTGGGTGTCTGCCTCAGGGAGCAGCCTGGTGGCGAGGTGGGGGTAGGTGGGGTTTTCCTGTCCGTGGCTGCCCTCGTGGCCTCTGCTGTCCTAGTGGATGCTGTCATTTGGTTGCAGCTGGGGTGCATTTTGCTACTTCGGGTGTTTTGCTTCATAGGTACTCTTTGGGGTTCCCAAACTTGTCGATTGTGCTGGCCCCTGCACCCACAAAGTCTGATCTGGCAGTTAGCCACACTGTTAGGGCTTACATCAGGGAGGTGCCGCCATTTCTTTGTTGCAAGCTGTTCTTTGTTCTTTGTTGGGGTGAGTCTGCAGGAGCACCACACACATCTTTATTCTGTACCTGCACCTCTCCCTTGGCCTGTTCTGGAAGGGACCTTGCTGTGGGCTTGCTTGGCCAGACCTATGGGTGTCAGCAGAGCCTTGCTAGCCAAACCTCCGAAGAGAGTTCCTGGGCCAACGGCTGGCTGGCCCATGTGACTTTTGGAGCCTCAGGAGGAGCCTGTTGTGTCAGGGAATCTCTCTGCTCAGGTCTTGTGTCTGAATAGGGACCCTGCTGGCCCACCGGTGGTCTCCTCCACACCTGTAGTGATGTGGGGAGGTGGGGGTAGTTGAATGACAAAGGAAGGAACAAAGGTGGTTGGAGGAGCAGATGTGGTCAGTTGGGCTGGCCAGCAGCAGGCAGGGCCCACGGAAGGCGGGGAGGGCAGCACAAGGACCTGCTGCTAGCTTACAGCCCAGCCCCAGGAGCCTCCCCCTACATCTCCCCTGTGCCTGGGTGGGCATAGCTGGTCCCAGCCCACACCAGGTGGCATCAGCTGCTGGGTTGTGACCCTGAGTGAGGTGCTCCCCAGCGGCACATAGCTCTGCCTCCCTTCCAGGGTCTCCCCACAGCCCCGCCCCCAGCAGTTACTGCCTCTGGTTGTCCAGACTTTGTTTTATGGGAGAGTTTCCTGTGGAAGAGCTGCACTGCAGACACACCACGGAAACCGAGAACATTACCCGCCACCTGGGATGGGGGAAATAAGAAAAAAGAAAAAACATCCAGAAACAGAAAAATAGAGAGTCCCACCTTCCCAGCACAACCATTCTTAGCATTAGGGTGTATTTCTTACTTTCTCCCCACTTTCAGTGTTTTGTTTTTCTTAAATATTCATATGACAGAGCACTTTGGGAGGCCAAGGCAGGCAGATCATGAGGCCTGGTGTGGTGGCGTGTGCCTGTAGTCCTAGCTACTGGGGAGACTGAGGCAGGAGAATCACTTGAACCAGGGAGTCGGAGGTTGCAGTGAGCTGAGATTGTGCTCCAGCTTGGTGACAGAGACTCTGTCTAAAAAAAAAAAAAAAATTCATATAACAGAATAATAAGGTGGAACCGTGTGTCCCCCCCACTCTAGCTGAAGAAATATGTTCACTTTTTTTTTTTTTTTTTTTTTTTTGAGACAGAGTCTCACTCTGTCGCCCAGGCTGGAGTGCAGTGGCCGGATCTCAGCTGCACTGCAAGCTCCGCCTCCCGGGTTTACGCCATTCTCCTGCCTCAGCCTCCCCAGTAGCTGGGACTACAGGCGCCTGCCACTGCGCCCGGCTAGTTTTTTGTGTTTTTAGTAGAGATGGGGTTTCACCTTGTTAGCCAGGATGATCTCGATCTCCTGACCTCATGATCCACCCGTCTTGGCCTCCCAAAGTACTGGGATTACAGGCTTGAGCCACCGCGCCCGGCCATATGTTCACTTTTTAATTTTAGAAGTACTCGGTGCTCACCGTAAAGATGTCCAAACCCTGCAGAAGTATAACACACACCACCCTGTGGCCTGGTCCTCTGCTCGGGGTCACCTGTGACGGCTCTTCTCAGAGCATGGTGGGGATGCCACATAAACACAACTGCCCGACAGCATCCTACAGCCCCTGTGAGGTCCTTGCAGGGTCTTGCAGTGCTGCGATCTCAGCTCACTGCGAGCTCCGCCTCCTGGGTTTATGCCATTCTCCTGCCTCAGCCTCCCGAGTAGCTGGGACTTCAGGCGCCCGTCACCACAACTGGCTAATTTTTTTTTTTTTTTTGTATTTTAGTAGAGATGGGGTTTCACTGTGTTAGCCAGGATGGTCTCGATCTCCTGACCTTGTGATCCACCCGCCTCTGCCTCCCAAAGTGCTGGAATTACAGGCGTGAGCCATTGCGCCCGGCCGAGGCCTTCCCTTTTGTCCAGAGCTGCACAGGATTGGCTAGTCAGAGACTTTTCCAGCCCATCTTTGTCTGACCCCAGCATCTCTGTGCATCAGTTACTTATTCATTATCATTAATTGTTAACTGTGCTTCTTCCAGAAGCTGGACGGGAGGTCCCTGATCAAGCTGAACTTTGCCAAGAACAGTGAGGGTGAGTGAAACTATCACAGCCACCTCTGGGCTTGGCCTCCTGACCCAAGGTCCCAGCTCTCACCAGGTTTCATACAGAATCAGTCATTGCTTTCTGACCAAGCTGGACACCTGCTTTTATTTATTTATTTATCTTTTATTTATTTATTTATTTAGAGACGGAGTCTCGCTCTGTCGCCCAGGCTGGAGTGCAGTGGCGCCATCTCAGCTCACTGCAAGCTTCACCTCCCAGTTCACGCCATTCTCCTGCCTCAGCCTCCCAAGTAGCTGGGATTATAGGCACCCGCCACCACACCCAGCTGATTTTTTGTATTTTTAGTAGAGATGGGGTTTCTCTGTGTTAGCTAGGAGGGTCTTGATTGCCTGACCTCATGATTTACCCGCCTTGGCCTTCCAAAGTGCTGGGATTACAGGCGTGAGCCACCGCACCCGGCCTGGACACCTGCTTTTAATTCTGCCAAAAGTGTCATAGGGCCAGGCACGGTGGCTCACGCCTGTAATCCCAGCGGTTTGGGAGGCCAAAGTGGGTGGATCACGAGGTCAAGAGATCAAGACCATCCTGGCCAGCCTGGGCAACATAAGGAAACCTTGTCTCTACAAAATGAAACCTAAAAATTAGCCAGTGTGGTTGAGCGCACCTGCAGTCCCCACTACTTGGGAGGCTGAGGTGGGAGGATTATTGGAGCTTGGGAGGTTGAGACTGTAGTGAGCTGTGATTGCGCCACTGCACTCCAGCCTGGGTGATAAAGCTAGACGCTGTCTCAAAAAAAGAAAAAAAAAAAGACAGGGTCTTGGCCTGTCGCCCAGGCTGGTCTCAAACTCCTGACCTCAAGCAGTTCTCCCACCTCGGCCTCCCAAAGCACTGGGACTAGAGGTGTGAGCGACCTCTAACTTGAGACTCTGACTAATTTGAGGCCCTAACTTGGCCTCAAATCAGGATTTCGTTTAAGAAAAAGTCCCCACAAATACATGTGGTTGATATCTCTGAGCCCCCCACCACACTTTTTTTCCCCAGAAGTGGACACTTCTTTGACAGGGCCCCTGGCCACTGAGTGGGGACTCACAGGCAGAGAGACAGTAACCAAGGCCAGGTACAGTGGCTCATGCCTGTAATGCCAGCACTTTTTGAGAGGTTGAGGTCAGGAGTTCAAGACCAGTCTGGCCAACATGGTGAAACCCTGTCTCTACTAAAAATACAAAAATTAGCTGTACATGGTGACGCATGTGCGCCTGTAGTCCCAGCTACTCGGGAGGCTGAGGCAAGAGAATCGCTTGAACCCAGGAGGCAGAGGTTGCAGTGAGCCACGATCGAGCCACTGCATTCCAGCCTGGGTGACAGAGCAAGACTCCATCTCAAAACAGAGCAAAACAAGGCTGGGCACAGTGGCTCACGCCTGTAATCCCAGCACTTTGGGAGACTGAGGCGGGTGGATCATGAGGTCAGGAGATCGAGACCATCCTGGCTAACACGGTGAAACCCCATCTCTACTAAAAATACAGAAAAATTAGCTGAGTGTGGTGGCTAATCACACCACTCCGTCTCAAAAAAAAAAAAAAAAAAGAAACAGAGCAAAACAAAAAAAAGATAGTAAGCGGGCAAGGGGATGGGCGGTTGTGAAGGAAGAGCTGACCAGGGGCCGGCGGGGGACGTCGGTGAGAGGTAGAGCTGTCAGGGCTGGAGCATGGGTTGTTTCCTGCTGAGGGCCAACTTCAGTAGGAGGAGGCGGCTAGCATGGTGCTCACCCAGGGGTGGGCTGGAGGATCTGAGGAAGATGCAGGGGTTGGGTCTTGCAGGATGAATAGGAGTTTCCTAATGGTATGGAGGGGTTTGAGGGGGTGAGCTGCTGTCCCCACGGTTCCCTGCTCTGGCTGCTGACATGGGGTTCCACCGCCTCCCATTGCTGACTTTGGCTGAGTTCTGCCCTGCCCTGGCCCCCCGCAGTCCTCATTGGGATGTTCACAGCCCGCAGAGGTGACTGACTTTCCTGTGTGTGCCTTCTCTCTAGGGAAGTACCACTGCCCGGTGCTGTTTACCGTGTTCACCAACAACACCCACATCGTGGCTGTGAGGACGACCGGCAACGTCTACGCCTATGAGGTGTGTCCTCGCTCCGGGGCCTGGAGATAGCGGTGGGGAGATCTCTGCTGTGTGTTCCCAGGATACTGGCTGGGCTGTGTGCTATGGGCACGGCCTGTCCTTGTGGGGTTTAGTCACAGCCACAGGCATGGTCATCTGCCAAAGCTCTGGCAGTGCAGCCTCCCCATTTTCAGGCAGGTCAAAAAAAGGGTTGGGGGAGGTGCATCCTTCGGAATCCCGGCAGTCCTGGCTGCCCAGCAGGGACCCTTAAACCCCAGGGGGCCCTCCTGCGTCTTCAGCAAAGCTCACGTGCTGGGAAGGCACCCGTGTTCTGAGGACAGGCCTTTAGGGTTGAGAGGGGAGTGCTGGCCCCGGCTCTGCATGGAGCCACTTGTCCCCGGGAGGGAGCTGTCTCCTGGAGGAGTTCTGGCTGGGAGTGGGTGTAGGGAGAGAGGAGGCAGCCATGTTCACACATGGGTCCTCCTCTCAGGGGCGAGGTGGGGCAGGCCCCACATGGCAGGAAAGCCGACCTTTGTGCCATTTTCAATCCTGCACCTGGACGTTTGTGGGGTGTAGGTGGCCAGCGCTGCTCCAGGGGCCTTGGGGCCACTTCTTGTCAGAAGCCTGCACAAACTGGCATGGTCAGTCCTCGTCAGTGGAGCGAGGACTCTGCTAGAACGTACCCCAGGAGTGCAGGCATCTCATGTGCACAGCCCCTGCCCACGGGGGCCTGGCGCTGCGCCTGTGCACAGGAGGAGCTCGGTGAAGGCTGTAGTGAGTGGGTGGGTGGCTCGCTGAGCCTTTTTGCTGATCAGTGTGCAGACAGGAGCTTCCTGCAGGAAGGTTGCTGCAAGGCTGAACTGGCTCATCGTCTGAGGCCCAGCCAGCTTCGCCTTTGTGGGAGCCTCTGCTTTCAGCCAGTGGGGTGTACACTGCTGTCTCTCTCATTCCTCATGCCTCTCAAATCATGCCACGGTCGGGGCCAGCTCCAGTCCTCCCTGCTTGCAGTCCCCTGTGCCAAGGCTTGAGGCAGGCATTGTAAAACCACTTCCTCCTGGCTATAGGCAGTGGAACAGCTAAATATCAAAGCCAAGAACTTCCGGGACCTGCTGACTGATGAGCCCTTCTCCCGGCAGGACATTATCACCCTCCAGGTGAGTGTCGCCTGCCCGCCTGCCCCAGCTGCCTTCAGCCCCTGCAGCCAGCCCAGGCCTCTACGGGGCCGCCGCCTCAGTCTAGCTCTTACATCTCCTCCCCGATCCCCCACCCCCATGTCAGGGTCCCTCATATCTGTCCTCAGAGCCTCCTAAGGCATCTGAATGGCCACTCTGCAGGCCTGGCTCTGCTTCAGCGCCTCGACGGCGGGAGCTGGTGTGAGCTCTGGGCCTTGGGGTCTGGCACAGGGCTCCCTGCAGATGTCAGAGAACTCCAAGTGAATTAACGAAAAACACTGACTTAGAAAAGCAGGTGCTGGCTGGAGTGTGGCCTGCTGAGTCAGTCACCTCTGTGGCTTGTCCCATTCTAACCAGAGGTTGGCCCGTGGCTGCCCACGTTCCTGTCCGAGAGCTCCCTAACAGCAATGAATGCTCGTTAACCATGTGCCTGGAGGAAGGTCGCAGCTCAGCCAGCAGCTAGCGAGGCCGTGTCCCCGTCCCTGCCCCTGCTTGCTGCCCTGCCTGGGGCAGACCACCTCCTCTGCCATGCCCTGCTTGAGTCCCCCCACCTCAGTGTAGGCCTGGCCTCTTCCCCACCTCTGACAGCTGGCCGACCTTTGCTGCATGTGGCTGCCATTTGGCCGCAGGCTGGGTTCACTCTGCTGGGCATTCTCTTTTTGCCACAGGACCCCACCAATTTGGACAAGTTCAATGTTTCTAACTTCTATCATGTGAAGAATAACATGAAAATAATAGACCCAGGTATGTACAACTAGGGGCTGGGCTAGGTGAGGGGGCATTTGGGTGAAATTGGGACAGTGCTCCCTGGGTAAAATCCTCCCTTTCCTGGAGGTCAGAGGGTCCCAGCCTAGACAGGCCCTGCATTTTCTGAACCAGTGTTCAGAGAATCCGAGCCAGCTGCAGCCTCAGAAACAACGGGCGGGATGGACTTGCTGCCCTGCCAGGACACCTGCTCAGGTTCCCCTGCTCCCTGCAGACTGGCCGGTGCTGTCAGTGGGCAGGTGGTGGGGTGACGGGGTCCTCCTGTTTTCCTGGCCGCTGGTGGCTGTCTTGCAGCCTTGGAGGAGCCAGCAGGACTCATGCTCAGAGGCCACTCAGCCTCGTGCTGCAGAGCAGTGGCCTGGGCACTTCGTGAGCGTTGTATAAACTGGGTTTTAGGGAGGCTGAGCACATGACTAGGGGAGATTTGAGTCAGGAGAGTCTGAGGCCAGGGTTGGGGCTGGGCCGTGTCTGTGCTCTCTGCACGGGGATGTCCGTCCCTCTCCACAGAGTGGACTGCTGTCCAAGGACCAGTAGGCAGCAGGCGCCCTCCTGAGTTGGCAAGAATGGGGGATTTCACATCCGAAAAGACCCCCACACACTTCTATTAAGTAAAAACCTTTAAAATTACGGAAGCAAAGGGGCTGGGCGCAGTGGCTTACACCTGTAATCCCAGCACTTTGGGAGGCTAAGGCAGGTGGATTGCTTGAGCTGAAGAGTTCAAGACCAGCCTGGGCAACATGGGGACACCCTGTCTCCACAAAAAATAGAAAAATTAGCTGGGTGTGATTGGCGCGCGCCTGTAGACCCAGCTACTCGGGGGGTTTAGGCAGGAGAATCGATTGAGCCCAGGAGGTGGAGGCTACAGTGAGCTGAGATCTTGCAACTGCTTTCCAGCTGGGGTGACAGAGCTAGGCCCTGTCTCAAAAAAAAAAAAAAAAAAAAAAGCAAAGTGTATACAGTAAAAAGATTAGAATATGCAGGAAACTACAACATGAAGTCCATCCTGAGACCCTTGTGAACTGCCTGGGGAGACCTTCAGGCCTGTAGCTGGGCACTGTGGCATTCTGTGGCTGGCAGTGGCACGGGGCCCATGCCATGGCTGGACAGCCCTGGCCTATTCTAGATCTGTTTCCCCAGCACGTGTGTGTGGGGAGGATACTGGGGGCTCGGCCGCTCAGGGCCATGCTACTGTTTTGTAGATGAAGAGAAGGCCAAACAGGACCCGTCTTACTATCTGAAAAATACAAATGCCGAGACCCGAGAGACCCTGCAGGAGCTCTACAAGGAGTTCAAAGGGGATGAGGTTCTGGCAGCCACCATGAAGGCCCCAGAGAAGAAGAAAGTGGACAAGCTGAACGCTGTGAGTGGTGGAGGGCACTCGGCCGAGCCCCGTCTCCCTGCCTATCTCATGGCCTCTTGGAGTGGTCCTGGGAAAGGGGTTCATGGGGGTCTGGGGTTACACGGCAGGGAGGCAGCCAGGATCCCCCAGAGCTGTGGTGCCCCTGATTGCTCTGAGCACACAGCCCTGGGGCTGCCCTGAGGTAGACAGAATCTGAGAAGGCAGAAGGGGAGGGGCTGACGTCCACACTGGTCGTTGAAGAACCAAGGGGTGTGTGGGGGCACGCAGGGGAGGAGACCCCTCCGCAGAAGGTCTGCCTTGTGCTGTGGTCCCAGCCTGAGCTCAGTGGCCAGGGCAGGCACGTGGAGTGGGCACGTGTGGTTCTGTGGTGGCTGGGAGGGCAGGGCCCGATGTGCACTGGGGCCCAAAGCCATGCCAGGGAGAGTTGGGGCGTTTCAGAGTCTGCTGCGGTGCTGAGGTGGATGGCGTGCCTGGGACCGCACAGAGCTACCTGTCTGGGGCTGCTGTGTTTGCTTCTTCCTCCTGTTCAGGCAGAGTGTGGGGATCTGGAGCTAGGGGGAGTGCAGAGACATGGGCAGGTATCGCTGAAGTTCTCCTTAAAGAATTATTCAAATTCTGGAAAAATTTAAAAAGCAAGTTTGTTGTCCATGGTCACCCCTCTGACACGCTGACACGCTGCCCTTAGCACTTTGGTATACTTTTTTTTTTTTTTGAGACAGGATCTTGCTGTGTTGTCTAAGCTGGTCTTGAATTCCTGGCTTCAAGTGAGATCCTCCTGCCGTGGCCTCCGAAAGTGCTGGATTAACAGGTGTGAGCCACTGTGCCTGGCTTGTATTTTCTTCTGATGGGAGAAACCCCTTTTCTTCCTCTATGATAAAAAATAACATTTACTGGGGCTTTCCCCCGACCCCTGATTAAATATGTAATGTGTTTAGTGTAGAAAATTTGAAACTTTAAAAAAAAGAAATGAGGCCAGGCATGGTGGCTCACACCTGTAATCCCAGCATTTTGGGAGGCTGAGGCAGGAGGATTGCCTGAGGCCAGGAGTTCAAGACTAGGTTGGACAACATAGTGAGGCCTTATCTCTACAAAAAATCAGCCAGGTGTGGTGGCAGGCGCCTGTTGTCCCAGCTGCTCAGGAGGCTGAGGTCGGGGGGTCACTTGAGCCCAGGAGTTGGAGGCTACAGTGCACCAGGATTGCACCACTGCACTCCAGCCTGGGTATAGATTAAGACCTTGTCTGATAAAAAAAATTAAAATAAAAATAAATGGGAAGTCAGCCATATACTCCTAACCCTGAGGTGGCCAGTCCTGTGTGGTATTTTATCTCCAGGGTTTCAGCTGATATCGTAAGAGTCGGGACCCAGTTGAGGCCAGGGGCCCCTGGCTCGGCCTGGCCTTGGCTTCTTCCTCCTGCTGGTCGGGAGGCCCTCCTGGAGGAGAGGCACCAAGCAGGGCCTGGGGGGCAGGGGTGGTATGTGGTTGGTTTCTAGGCAAGTGACACGTCCCTGCCCACCTGCCTCCCATGGCACTGCTGAGGTGCCATCCTGGTTTCCTTGGCAGGCCCACTATTCCACAGGGAAGGTCAGCGCTTCCTTCACCTCCACTGCGATGGTCCCGGAGACCACACATGAAGCAGGTAGCCACCTTTGCCTCTGTAGCCACCTGCCATGTGACCTGAAAGTGGCCGGGGGGCCGGGGGTGGGTGTGCTCCCCAGCTCCCACTTTCTTGGCCTGTCAGGGGCTCCCACTGTCACCTGAGCCCCTAGTCCTCCCCCTCTTAGCTGCTGAACCCCTGCCAGCCCCATGAGGCTGGTGCATGGCCTGAGCAGACCCTCAGCCTCCGGCTCCCCTGCTCTCCCCAGAGCTGGAGCCTAGTCCCCGCCTGTGTGTCTGAGGCCGGTGCTGCCTGGCACAGTGGGGCTGCCCCAGGGTAAGGGCAGGGGCCGAGCTGGGACCTCTGCTTGTAGCTGCCATCGACGAGGATGTGCTCCGCTACCAGTTTGTGAAGAAGAAGGGCTACGTGCGACTGCACACCAACAAGGGCGACCTGAACCTGGAGCTGCACTGCGACCTGGTGGGTGTGAAGGCCGGCCCCTCCCCATGTCCCAAGGTCATTTCTGGGGTCATTTGACAGCCATGTCTTAACTATAGGGCTGTGACTGGTATGTGCTTGTTGTAGGAAATTCAGCCTGTCACTAGGCGGGACCCGCAGCAGTGGCCTGTGTCCTTCCTAGGGGACTATGTTGGCAGCATGGCCTGCACACAGGTGCCAGTGTTTCAGAGAAGGGGCCAGGCCGCACCTGCTGCTCTGCCCACACTTCTCCCATGCGCTCTGCTCTGGGCCATGCGGCTGCATGGGGCCTGTTGGTTGCTGTTGTGGGTCTATCCTTGCCCAGTGTGGACGGGCAGCTGACTCGACTACATATTAAAGACCAGCCTGGCCAACACGGGGAAACCCCGTCTCTACTAAAACTACAAAAATTAGCCAGGTGTGGTGGTGCACCCCTGTAGTCCTGGCTACTTGGGAGGCTGAGGCAGGAGAATGTCTTGAACCTAGGAGGCAGAGGTTGCAGTGAGCTGAGATCGTGCCACGGCACTCCAGCCTGGGCGACAGCAAGACTGCATCTCAAAAAAAATAAAAAAAGGCCTCCTGTGACTGTGGTGAGCTGCCTTTGGCAGCTCTCTGCCTGATACAAGTATCGGGGCTATGTTGCAGACACCAAAAACCTGCGAAAACTTCATCAGGCTTTGCAAGAAGCATTATTACAACGGCACCATCTTCCACAGATCCATCCGGAACTTTGTGGTGAGTGATGCGAGTCACTGGCTACACAGATGAGCTTGGTGGGACATCGGGGGCTGGGTGGGCTTGTCCCTGCCCCGTTCCAGGGCCCTGGCCCATGCCGCGGTGGCCAGGATGAGTCCAGTCGGTGATCTTCTGTTGGGGAACCCATAGGCTGACCCTTGAGGCCCCAGCCCATCCAGCACTGGGTTCACACAGGGAGGTGGCTGGGAGGGCCCCTCATCATCACCAAGAGCCCAGCCCCCGTATGGAGCCATCTAGCAGGAGGGGTCTCCTTCAGTCAGGCAGGCAGTGGGCCTCGGCTCTCAGAGTGTGACTTGCTCACTGGCTTTTGTTTTCACAGATCCAAGGGGGTGACCCCACAGGCACAGGCATGGGTAGGTACTGGTACTGGGCCCCTCTCTGGGCACCTTGGCTGCTCCTTGGGGCATGAGGGAGTAGCTGGGCAGGGACTGTGCAGAGCTCAGATGTGGAATCTGTTAGACCAGGGTGGAACGACTGGCAGCCATCAGTGTTGTGCCCGCTCAGGCCTGGCCCTCAGTTTTCTCATTTCCAGGTGGCTGTGAGGCCTGCATGGTAGAGGAGGCAGGAGTGTGTGGTCTCTTCCCTGGGCCCCTGGGGTCTGCCTCAGACCACGGCCAGCCCTCCCTCCTGCAGCCTCTCCAAGCCCGTCAGCCTGACAGCTGCTTGGGTCCAGGCCCTGCCACTCCGTATTCCCATAGCTTGAGTGATAATGATGGCGGTCTTGACTCTTTAATCCCTGTCCTGGGGCAGGCCCCAGGCAGGGCTGGGGTGAGTGGGCAGTAGCCTGCCTGTGTGGAGGCGTGGGGCCTCCAAAGGACCCAGGAGTTGGTGACATGGGGCCGGGGGCCACCCTATCAAGTGCCCCTTCTCCAGGCTGGGCTCAGCAAGGCCCTGATGCCCCTCGGGACTCTGAGGTTTCTGGTTCTGCCTCGGCTGGGGCCCAAGCTTTCCTGCTTCTGTGGGCCTTTCTCTTCCAGGCGGGGAGTCGTACTGGGGGAAGCCCTTCAAAGATGAGTTCCGGCCCAACCTCTCTCACACGGGCCGCGGCATCCTCAGCATGGCCAACTCAGGGCCCAACAGCAACAAATCTCAATTGTGAGTCAGCCGGGCTGGCTGGGGTGGCCTGGGAGGTGAGCCAGCACTCCCTGCAGGTTCTCCCTCTTGGCCCTCCCTGAAGGGCGTGCTGGTTCTGAATCAAACCCAGACAGTGTACGGCACACCTAGGCCAAGCATGTGCACCTGTGTTCAAAAGGGGGGCCCCCAGAGTGAGTCAGCAGGGAGAGCTGCCCGCGCCCGGTTTGTCCTCGAGAGACCAGAAGTCATGAATTACTGGAGGTCCAGAAGGGCCTCTTGATAGGGACCAGGCGTTCGTGTGGGTGCCTGTGGCCAGGCAGTGCTGGGGGAGGTCAGCGTGCTGGAGTAGCGTGTGGGAGGGATTGTGCAGGGCATGGCCTGGACAGGGAGAGGCGCCTGGAGAGACACAGGATGTCTGGGGAATGCGTGGCCCTGGTGCATGTGGGGAGCAGTGTGCAGGCTGGTGGCAGGCGGCAGGGGATGGGGGGCCAGCAGGGCTGTGGGGGCCAGATGCCTGTATTGTGGAAGAACAGAGGTGCCCTTTCCATCCACCTGCCACCCCAGACAGTGGCCTGACTTTATGTTTTAGTCTTTCAATCATTTTCTTCACGTGGGTCCGGTGACTTTCTGGATAAAGCAACTTCTTAAGGACCTTTTATAATTTGTGATACTTTTGTAAATGGACTTTTTTTCCAACTTTTGGGGATCATTGCTCATGGAGAGAAAAACTCCTGTTCATTTTATATTTAGCCACTTTATCACATTCTCTTATAATTAAAAAAGGGTTTAAGAGTCTTCTGGGTTTTCTAGATAGTCACGCTTATCATCAAAAGCTGGCCGCCTCTCTGCCACCCTGGTGTGCTCATCAGTCCTGTCACCGTCATGTCACCGTGGGCCTGATGGGGAGGAGGAAGTGGGCGTCTTGCTTTGCTCCACAGGAATCGCTGTTTTGCCTTCTCAGAACATTTGTTGTTGGGCTGTTTTTTAGGAGGGTGGCTGAGTTTCTAGAGGTTTCTTTCTTAGCATCTGTTACGATGATTCTGTGCTTTTCTGGTCCTCCTGGGATTTGTGGATGTGGCCACTACAAGGCTAGAGTGCATGGGTGTCTGCGTGGCATTCTGGGGTGAACCCTGGCCTCTCGTGGCTTTGCTGTGGCCTTCCACCGGCTCACTGTCTTGTCACACGTGGTCTCAGTTGTGTGGACTGGCTCCAGGAGGTTTTGCTGTGACAAGTGTGGACCCTGCATGTTGTGAGCAGAGCTGGCTGTGGCTTTGTAGCCTGGAATGGTTAAAATCACAGGGGTGGCCGGGCGTGGTGGCTCACACCTGTAATCCCAGCACTTGGCGAGGCTGAGGTAGGTGGATTGCCTGAGCCCAGGAATTCGAGATGAGCCTGGGCAACATGGCAAAACCCCATCTCTACAAAAAATTTAAAAAATTAGTGGGGCATGGTGGTGTGTGCCTGTAGTCCCAGCTACTTGGGAGGGTGAGGTGGGGGATCCTCTGAGCCCGGGAAGTCAAAGCTGCAGTGAGCTGGGATCGCACCACTGCACTCTATCCCGGGCAGCAGTGAAACCCTGTCTGGAAAAAAAAATCACACTGGCGTCAGCTGTGGTGAACAGCCGGCCAAAGGCAGCTGGCAGCCGTTCGTGCCACTTCCTTGGGGCTTTCATTTCAGGGTTAATGGGTACTTGTTCCCATGAAGCTGATGTTCTCTTGGCCTCTCTGTGCTCACCTCTTTTTTTTTTTTCTTTCCTAATCACACTTTCTGTTCCTCGATCCCTTAATGGTCTTTGAAGGGTTTGTCTGTTTTCACTTCCTGTGGAATTGTTTTCACTCTCTGTCTTTGCTTCTTCATGGTGCTTTTCCTCCTTCTTCACTTTAATCCATGTCTGCTTCTGGAGCCGCGTCTGTCATTTTGAGGGTGCACGTTCCCTCTTCACTGCTTGCTGGCGGTTGGTAGCTTCCCTTTCAGTTTCCTCTTAGCCAAGGATTGCCTAGGACTGTTGGTTATTTTCAAGTAGGTTGGGTGCATGGTTGGTTCTTGTTTGGCAGGGGCCAGGATGGGGAATCATTTTATTATTTTTTATTTCTCTTTGGCTTAACCAGCCTGTGAAATGGCTGACAGATCAGTTGCCACCTTCTCTTCCTTTTTTTTTTTTGAGATGGAGTTTCACTCTTGTCGCCCAGGCTGGAGTGCAATGGTGGGATCTCGGCTCGCTGCAACCTCCGCCTCCCGGTTCAAGCAG